TACGCGCCCCCCACCTGCCCCCTCCCCCCCCCCCCCCCCGCTGAAGCAAGCAGCAGAGCTGTGAGAAACCCTGAGCCCCAATGTCCCCCACAAGGCTGAAACTGGGAATGGCACTGCAGGGCTGAAACCCTGACCCCAATGCTCCCCCAAGACTAAAGCGCTGAGTCCGGTGCTCCTGCAGGGAGCCCTGACCCCCAACAAGTCCTGCTGCTGCAGCCCTAACTCTCTAAGTGGTTGAAGTTTGTAGCCTTTTCTTCAGAGTTATGGAAAATTTCAGAGTTATGGACAACCTCCTTTCCCAAGGACTACGTCTACACTGGCATGATTTTCCGAAAATGCTTTTAATGGAAAAGTTTTCCATTAAAAGCATTTTCAGAAAAGCGCATCTAGATTGGCAGGACGCTTTTCCGCAAAAGCACAATCTTACATGAGATCATCAGTGCTTTTCCAGAAATTCAAGCGGCCAGTGTAGACAGCTGGCAAGTTTTTCCGCAAAAGCAGATGATTTTGCCGAAAAACATGCCAGTCTAGACACAGCGAAGGTATTTATCTCTGAGCTTCTACCATGCAATCATATAATTTAACCTCCTGCAAAATGCAGACCTTAACTTTCAGAAAGACATCCAACACTCCCGAACTCCATTCATGGCAATTTGTTCCAAGGATAGATTCTCTTTACCATTTAATATTTGCATCTTATTTCCAGTTTGAATTTGTCTAACTTCCAATCATCATTGCAGGTGCCCAGCTCTCTTCTGGATCAGGCTCCTTTTGGGTAATGATATAACTTCCACGGGTATATTCCTAGGAGCCTAATGGGCAGTAGATCAGCTAGTGTGTGTATGCATTTCAAACTGCTGTCTACAGTACAAGTTGTATCTCCCTAAACTGGCAGGACAACAGATGTTCCTGGACCAGTGAGCCCTGTGGCCAGGAGACCATTGGCATCTGGCAGTCCTAGCCAGGGCTGGGAGCCCACAACTCTCTTGGCCAGTGTCCAGCAGCCCACAGCAGTGGGGTTGGGAGCCCGTGGCAGACCACGGCTACTGGAGCCAACAGCCCACGACCACTGACCAGCCTGGGGCAGTCCAGGTGATGTCCAGCAGCCTGCGGCAGCAGGCCCAGGAACTCATGTCAGCCCTGGCCAGGGCAGGTGGTAGGGGATAGTCAGGTCAGAGGCAGGGGCGTCAGCTGGGCCAGAAGTGGAGCCAGTGGTGGGGAGAGTTGGTGCGCTGGGAGCTGGTGGAAGGGGCAAATTTCCTCATTTGGGACCAATCAGGTCTTGGGGGTGCCAAATCAGGGAGGTCCAACCTGTATATTAAACAAGTACATTTTAGACCTGCTCTACTCTTCAGATGTAGACTTTGAAGTTAATCAAAGATGTTGTCTATAGTGACCAAAAATAGTATTTTGGCCACTTAGTCATCTAATCCTGAGCAAAATACTAAACTCTACTCCATAGTTTCTACTGCTGCTATCATTGATGAATTATCAATCCCATTTTTGTCACAGTAGATGCAGTATAGTAGATCTAGTTTGGCTCACCTGTTTGGTGTCACCAGTGAAGATTAAGAGAATCAATATATCAAGAGATACGAGGTTGCAGGATAGGGCAGTCATGCAGAGCATTTACTCTTCTTTAGTATCACTCTAGCTTTTCTTTCAAAGTGGCTTGTAACTTTGTGACAAAATGTGAAAATTCTGATGTAATAAATGTTGGCCCTTTTTGCATTCTTTCTGATTGTCCTAAATTTTTGTTAGCAGGCATGAGTATACTTCAGGAAAAAGAGAACATTTTCTCTGACTGTAAAAAGAAATTCTGGAATACATATAAGGTGAGGCAAATGGTTGGTTAATCTCATTTTTAAGCAAAACAATGTTACTGAATGCTACAGTTAGATGAAACTAGGATGCTAGCCTGCAACATTATATTTCTTTTACTTTTTCTTCCTCTAATTTCTTTATTTGGGATTCTGTGCAGAAGGCTCCATGCAGCGCTGCAGTTATACTGAAATTATGGGTAACAACGTAACTCTATCATCTCTAGTTGTGCAAACTGAGTCCATCCTTACATTGTACAGCGTATGTGTTTACAAAAGCACGTGAATCCATGTCAATGGCAATAGTCACAATGTAACAAAGATAATGATGCTCAAGGGCTGCAATATCATTTTTGTTGAAATGTTGCACTTAGAGAAATGGAACTAGCAGAATCTTGTTCAGGCATTACACTGTATTTATTGTGAATGCGGAATTCATTTACTGTCCCTAGCTACTACACACACAGTTCTATGGATGGGATATAATTACTGTTCTCCAGTGGTCACCAACCAGTAGATTGGGGTCTACTGGTAGATCTTGGAGCTTCTGACAGGTGATCTTGACTGGTTTGGCCAAGAGGCTATCAAATCCTGGCATTTCAGCTGCCCCTCCCCCCACCGCTGTGCCTGCCCTTCGCCTTGGAAAGGTCCCCCCCTCCCCTCCATCCCCAGCTTGCTGGCAGGGCAGGGAAGGAAGAGAAGAGGGCACTAATGTCAGGGTGCTCCCTCTCTCATCCTGTGGTCTATCTCCACAGAACGGAGCAGGGCACAACAGGACTTGGGAGGGAGTTTGTTGGCTGCTTTTGAGAGTGGTGCAGGGCCAGGGCGGGGGTGAGTCTGCCTTAGCCCCACTGCACCACCTGTGGTAAGCAGTGTCCAGTTGGAGCCTGAACCCCTGGCCCAGTCATAAAGCCACCCTGCACCCTAAGCCCTAGCCCTGAGCCCCCTAAATCCAAACTCCCTTACAGAGCCTGTACCCTGAACACCCTGCTGCCCCCTAAACTCCCTGCCCCAGGTTCAGCTCAGAGCCCCTCACACTCCAAATCCCTTAATCCAAGACCAGAGCTTGCACCCCAACCCTCTGCCACAGACTAGTGAAAGGGAGGAAGGATGTGGGAGGGAGGGAGAATGGAGTGAGTAGGGGCGGGGCCTCTAGAAATGGGCATGAAGGATGTGGGGCAAGGGTATTTGGGTTTGAGGTAGATTGTGGATTGCACTTAAATTAAAATAAGTGATATCATGCTTTAAAAGGTTTGAGATTACTGCCATACTCAGTTGCTCATGCTAGTCTACTGGCCAAATAGACAATGGGAGGGCAGCTGGGCCCTGTGGTTGCTCACCAATGCTCCTGGAGGAACTGAAAGGCCCAATCCTATAGTTTTGCACTCATCTTTTTATATGTTTTAGTTCATAGATTCTATCCTGTCTCACTGCCCCAGAGCACTGTATGATCATGAACATCAATTAACAGAAGATGCGACTTTGATCTTTTTCTTGATGGGGCTTTTGTCCCTTTCTTGGGTGGTTTTTTTTGCAGGGTTCACCTACATTGTTCTTTAGCCATCACGGTGGTGCAGGCCTCAGGTCACTGAGATTGGCTGGCATCGGGGACTGATCCCATTACAGACAGAGACACACACAAACACACACACTTTAAATAAGATTACATAGACACACACCTAACTTTAAACAGAGTTAAGGCAGTACAAAGTTTAAAATGGGATATTAGTTATAATATGGAGTTGTTATACCAAATAGAAGCAAGCAGGATCTTATGAGGGGGATAAGGCAAAAAGCCACATTTATTGTAAAAATAATAAAGAATAAAGAAAAGATAGAAGCAAACAACGTTGTTTAACTACTTAACCCTTATACATATAAACATTCATTCATCCATTCATTCAGGTTCTGTGTATTTGTTATAGTTACCAGCCTGGAAGTTGCTTGTGACAGAATACTGGCCAGGTATTCTGTACAAAAGTGATGGTATTGGGGAGCGAAGTCATGATCAGATGCGCATCTGAAGCTCCTGGTAGGCTGGCAGCAGAACCTTGGACTCTGATTCCATAGTTTTTTAGTCCAGTTCTTATAGGAATTTCTTCCTATGCCAGTCTATGGAAATTGCTGCATCATGCTGATCTCTTCAGGGTGGCTGCCAGGTGCTCGTCAGTGATCTCATCGGTGGACCTCCAGTACTTGGTTTTCTCCACTTGACACCTTTTGGTTGCACTGGCACCTGACGCCTTCTTCAGCCCTTTGTTGCTGTATTCTCAGGCTGGCACCTCTCAGAACCATTCACTCATCATCCAAGCACTCTCTC